AAAGTATTGTTTAAGTTAACGTTCGTTGTTAAAACGTTTGTTATAGAGCGACTGTTGAAAATAAGTGTATCGGTAGAGTTATATTCAGAAAGAATAAACCAGTTTTATTAAGTAAGGACTTGTGTCGCTAAAGTTTCGTCGGAACGAAGTTACGGAAAATTAATTAACAAATGGAGACGTAACAATATTGAAAAACAAAAGCAAAATTAAATTCTTTCATTGATACTACAAATCCACGGGCATCGTTGTAGGCTTTTTGATATAACTTTTCTTCAGGACCTTGGATTTTTTCAAACAATGACACAAGCTGATTCCACTCATAAACTATTTCAATGAGATTGGAACTGTAATTCCAGAAGTGGATGATACCCTTGTTGACCTTTTCTTCATCTAGAGCTCGTGTTCTCTTTGTAGACGTAGAAAAGAAACCCGCTAGGACATTCAAAATCAGAAACAAATATTGTACTTTCGTTTATAGATGACACGGCTCGAGACAATACTAAATTTAATCTATGAGCAAACAGAGTCCAAAATGGCTTTTAGAAATTATTCTTTTACTTTTGATTTGATTGTAACTCATTTATGTAGCCAGCCATGACGGCAGTGTCGTCACAACTCTGAACAACCGGCTTTTATGTTCACATCCGTACACGTGCCTCAGTAGCATACAGTAGTGCTTCAGCCGATCGATTCTTTCAAAATATTCTGTACTTGTCTATCTGGTGTAATATAACAAAAACTGAGGACAATTCAGAAAAAATGATCAAAATTACTCACTTCAGTTGTCTCAACTAGGATTAAGGAAACGAAATTAATTTAACTAACTTCCTTTTTTATTTCAGTCAGTAATACGATGGACATGGACAATATCAAATCATTTCGAATTAGATTAGACATCCCAGTAAATGCGGATGAATGTTCTAAATGATGATTTAATTTTTCATCATACAGACTAATAATATGTACAAGCTCAATGTAATTTCCTTTGTTTGTCGAATCATCTGTTTCGTCATGTCCTCTAAAGGTCAGCTTTTGTCTTACTAAAACGAATTGCATGAATAAAACGTTTCGCCATTTTTCCTTACGTGTTCATTGTGCTGTGAATCACGTATTTTGTTTTCTGTCTGTCCAACATGTGATCGCTTCTAGACTTACCAAAAAATATTGCTTGAAGATATTTTTTTAACTGTCTTGTGAATTTTAACTGTCAGCTTACTCTGTTCTGTTCCAAACATTTTTATCATTTGGAAAAAAAGCATAGTAATTTTGTAAATTAAGGCAACCGGTCAACCATTCACTGCTATCAAAAAAACACGTGTTAAATTGCTTTAAACAAGATTTTACTTTCGTATTCATGTTCATTTTTGATGTACCTTTTTTATTGTATTTGTTATTTCAAAATATCTTCTATACCGCAATCACATGCTGAACGGCGCGTGGCCCGGGTTCCTCGTCTACTTGGACATGCAAGATAAATAATTGCTTCCCTTGTTTGTTTTACACTATAGTCGTTTATTGCGTTACAAGTATTTGTAAACAGGATATTTATCAAAACGAATTATTTGAAAATTTAAGAAACTAGTACGTCATTTGATCATGTTAACTTAGAAAAACACCTAAATTCGGAAAAGTAGAAAAAGTGATTAGAAAATCCACATTATTAAAACATAAGCACATCTTAGCACTGAAACCAATATAGTGAGTGGACGTAAAGAAGGTATTTGCATACCACGAAGGAAACACTCAAATATGACCTCCAACACCCGACCGGTCAAGGTATTGTTTATTTTTAGAGCACAAGCTTGTGGGAAAAACCCACTCTTTCTGTAGAAATGATTACGCTGCATTGTTTTATTCCAACCATATTTACTTATGTATGTATTTATAAAACTGACTATTAATATGTATTAATTATTTGAATTTTTAGCTTTGGTAAACGCGCTTCTGGTTTTGGGCTGTGCTTTGGAATTGTTTAACGTTATGTACGTATAATGCGGGATTAAGTATTGTGAATAATGCTGAAAATTCCCGTGGTAGATAAAGCAGTGCCCTACTTCGTACCCTTGGGCCTTTACATCCGAGAGATTTCCTTAGAAAGCTAGATAGCATTATAGCTGTGCTGACGTCGCAGTCTCGAGGTCGTTCGATCTCCTGACAGATATGACGTCAGCATTGATGTCACAGCCTGTTTAGTGGCGCAAGCCAATATCAGAAAAGGGGAAAGGAAGAATGGTGTGTGGTGTGAAATGAACGAAAGATAGACTTTTTCCAGCAGCCAAATAGGCAAGAGGCTACATGATTCCATGGACATAACAAAGTTATGGGCATGGCCGAGAAGCCAAAAGGCCCGATTCGTGTGGGATTTTATGACATCGAGCGCACAATAGGAAAAGGGAATTTTGCTGTCGTAAAGCTAGCGAGACATCGAATAACCAAGACAGAGGTAAGCCTAATTGGGACTAAAGTATCCATCTCAATGACGTTCATTCATATTCGTTTGACCAGCCTTGCAAGTTGCGTCTCGTCAGTAGTCACGCGGTAAAGTTTACTTCCAAGATTTGTATTAAGAACTTTAATTTTATTTTTAAATATCTTTGATTATTTTATGTACGTGTTATAAACACGGATTTCACCAGAATGTGATTTAGTTTTAAATGTTGATAGAAGACTAAACTCTTCAATTTATACATTTTATTTCAGATATGAGAATCTTAAACTTTACGAAAATCTACTAAATATGAAATTATGAGCAAATTGATGACGTTTTTTCCAACGACTGAAATAATACTGTTTGAATAATTTCTGAGAAAAACGTGTGAAATTTATTTCTGTAAGATTTTTCATCACAAACATGTATTTCTCCTTAATGAAACTGAAGCATATGCAAATAAAATTTTGGAACCGTGTGATTTTCATTCTTTTATAATTTTGATACTGTGAACTTTCCATGTTATATAACATGTTATATACAGCAGAGAACTGATTTCTCAAGTACGAAATGCCACTTGTTTTGATGAAAGTAACGGTTATGGCAAATATTTTGTTTTCCGTTGAAAGCATTCTAAACGTTTAATATTTTTCAACTTGCAACTTATAACTAGAAACATATTCCACTGTAGACATAAATGTGTTGATGGCGGTTTGTTATAGTATGAAAGTTTTTAGATAAAATAAGTCAAAAATAAAAAGAAAGTGCTAAAACATTGAATATATTTATTTCTGTTGTACATATTTTTATTTCAGAATGTTTTTATTTGAATGTCATGTAAATGGTAAACCACAGAAACATCTTGTTTGTTTGATTCCATGAGATTTGGTTTTCCAGTAGGTCAGCAATAAGCTTACGGACTAACATCACACTCAAATCTGCGATGGGCAAAGTAGATAGCTCTATATGGCTTTGCGTTAAAACAACCAAACCAACCCTTGAGATTTGACAGAGTAAATCTTTTTTTTTCAGATTTTTCGCGCAAAGTCGTCTCTAATTTTAAACTTTTTGTGTCTAACCGAATATTGGGATTTGACTCTCACTTTTATAGTACGCCTGCGTCCCAATGTGCAGAGCGTGCTTTTGCAGCAACAGGTCGTGAACCATGAACCCTGCGATCGACAGTCCGTTCACGCTAACTACTGGCCATACCAGGCCCACAAGTAAAGAAAACTAAAAATGTGTTGAGAAAATGAGCTTGAAAATATTTCGCAACAGAGAAAAACCTCACCCAAATTTCTGCGACATTAAGCAAATTTTTTGAATAAATTTTCACCTTTGTTTCTATTTCTTTATATCAATTCACAAAGATAAGAGTTCAACATTGACGCTCTTGGTAGGCACCAAACGGAAAAGATCCCAAATTTCTCTTTGTCTTAGTGGGTTACGCATGGTTTTGTTTATTTTCATTGGATCTTTTTAACCTAAAATATAATCTGTATTTAGTTATATTAAAAATAAAGTTATGCTTTATTTAACTTTTATTTTACTAAGGAACTTAAAACATATTTTATAGTTGTGAATATCGAAGGTATACCATTATTTTACTAAGGAACTTAAAACATATTTTATAGTTGTGAATATCGAAGGTATACCATTATTTTACTAAGGAACTTAAAAAGATATTTTATAGTTGTGAATATCGAAGGTATACCATTATTTTACTATGAGATGCATGTGGAATTTACTTTCAGAAGAAATTAGCGTATGTAATTGGTTTACGTATATGCCATAAAGAATAGTTATTTGAATGAAGATTTACGTTGAAACAACTAAATATTTTAACAATATGTTGAATCTATTTTTGTGTCTCTTAGTGATGGATTTGACAGAATATATTTCAATTTAGCAAGCTTGCTCGTATTGTCAGGGTTGGTAGGTGTGTTTTAGTGTAGAGCTATTCAATGGGCTAGCTGCTCATTGTTATGTCCACGGACAACCATCGAACCCTGAATTTTAGCGTTGTAAGTCCATAAACTTAGCACTGATCCACCGGGGAACAATTGTCAGTGCGCTGAGACTTTTAATATCAAAAATCCTATGTGATATTGAGTTAGTAGAATACTTACACAGTTTAAAAATGTGAACTGATTGAAAGAAAATAAAATAAAAAACCTAGCGTGTTTAAAACTAAGACATAAATACAAATTTCCTCAATTACGGAAAAAAAACAATAAAAATTTCCAGCAGTTTAAATATATAGATCTAATCAAAAACATCTTAGGTGTGAAAAAAAAGGTGCGGCCAAAAAAGGATTGAATGTGCTGCATAAAGGAATGAAATCAAAATTGGCGGCCAAACTGGAAACTACACTTATAACATTGATAAGAATTTTACAGCAAATATTCATTCATTAGTTAACCAGGCCGCGTTTCTTGTTCAACTTGAGCATGATGGTGGGTAAAACAAAGTACACGGCCTAGCTAACTAATGAATGAATATTTGCTG